AAAAAAAAAAAAAAAAAAAAAAAAAAAAAACATGATTCTATTTAGTTTTTATACAATGCCTTTTATTATTTATTAATATTTAGTAAAAGAACAACACATGCGAAAGATTCTGCTTGTTTCTGATGAAAATTTATTCCACCAGAACAAATACTACCTATTTTATTATTCCTCTTTTTATTGATAATGATCGAATTAGATATTTTATATATACGTATTGGGTTAATTGTCTATATTAATTATTATTCTATGAAAGCGTTCCACTGCTGAGTCTAGGGTACTCAATGAAACGTTACGGAGTTTTGCCAGCCCTAGTAATTCTCCTAAAAATTTGAAGAAAACACTTCATGCAGGATTTATTGATTTGGGACCGTGTGACCGGGGTGTTTTCAAGGGTTTTTTGGAACATTCTAGAACATTCGGTGAGGAGACGAAGCGGGGAAGGAAGGTGTGATGCTAAGGGTACTGAAATCATGAGTTAGTGGGGCCCAAGACGTGATCGGCAGCACCTGAAAAATTGGAGGGCTGGGTCTCAAATCGCGGTTGATATTTCATTTAATTTTAATAACAAAGAGAAGCTTGTGTGAAAATCTAAGTTTTAGTGTCGTTCGCGCTAATAGATAAAATCTAGTATAATAATTGTAGTTTAATTTAGGGTTTAAGTCGTTAGACCATTTAGGAGACGTCGCGTGTGAAATTTAAGGAATTGTTATTTTCGGGTGATTTAGCGAGAGATCGGGAGTGCGTGTCTAATACTTTGTTAGGGCATTCGTACTGAATTTGTTTATAAATAATCTAGTATTTAGGAAACGCCGCGAGTTAGTCTATATAGTGCTTACAATTGTAACAATAGGTAGACCATTGCTTTAGTGTGCGGGTTATATAGTGTTAAAACTCTAATTCGAATCTAGAAGTGATTTAGGTCTTCAGCCGTGTGTAAAATACTTTGTTAGGACATTAGTGTTCGTAAAGCGCGTGCGATAGGGTTAAGACCGTAATCGGAATCTAGAATAGATTTAGGCCTTCAGCTGTGTATATAATATTTTGTTAGGACATTAATAATATAGTTGTATAATAATATAGTACTCAGGAAGCGTCGCGTATTAATTTATATAATATTTACGTTTGATAGTTAGAGTCAGTGTCCGCGAGCGCGTGTGTGAGACAGTGTTAATATGACTTTAATTCAAGTCTGGAGCTGATATGGGTCTTCAGTTCCTGGTCTATGTTCCTGGCAGATTTCCTTGTAGGTGCAGCCTTCTAGATGTCTTGTAATAGGTGAGAGGTCACCTCTCAGGTATGTGATTTGTGTTTACTATGATAGGATACCTACTTATTTTGGGTATCTATCGTTGAGATTTGTTTACGTGTTTTTAACAGTTTTACGTCCGTTGTGTATTCTTTTGATAAGGATACCTACTTATTTTGGGTATCTATCGTTGAGATTTGTTTACGTGTTTTTTTTTAACAGATTTACGTGCGTTGTGTATTTTTTTGATACATTCTAATTATAATATTGCGAAACCTCATTCGACTGATATTCTTTTATTAGTTGAATGAACAGTTACCGAAAAATAACTTAAATTATCTAGCAAACATTAAACTTTGATTTTGTTTAACAATGAGATAAAATTGTATCTCATAACATTTTTATACAGTATTTATAATTTGCTACATTGAATCTATTATTTATTACTTCAGCTAAACTATAAAATATAGATTTCATTTAGTTTACTTTTATTCAATCAATTAATCTTAATGTAGAATTCATAGTAGTTAGGACACCTAGAGTAATTGCAATTTTATTGATTACACGCACATTCTGAAGGTGTCCATACATTAAGCAATGTTGTTTTACTTAATTATAAGGAAGGTAAACTGTGACAACTTGGTACAATATACTTGACCAATGTTATTGTACGAAGGATAACAGTAGCGGTTTATTATATCCTTCTTCTTTGGGTATTATCGGTATTGGTTTAAGGTATCTAAGGTGAGGTAAAATTATTTATTAAAGATATATTAATACATAATATTGTGTATTTAATTTCATGTCCTTTCTGCTGAATTAGTGGACATCTGCAGAATGGAATTAGAAAACCAATGAAGTTTGATTGATTTATTATCTTAGGCTGATATTTGGCATATTTATTACAAATTATAAAACTTTGTCTTGTCAAATTAAAAGCCTTTGTGGAAGATGATACTAAGTTATTTGCGATGATGTTGGATCACCTGTGTTCCTTCCATCGCCCTGTCAGATTTACGCCTTGATATCCATGTATATCTCGTTTATGTCTGATTAGCGTATTCCTAGAGCTAGCCGATAATTATTAGAAGTACCTACTACAATACACAGTGACAGTGTTCATGATCTTATATGGAAGGTCTTTCCATTTCCATAAAGATTTAGGACTTCGAGTGTATAAGTTGTTACTGAGATAATTAGCCGCGTGGTCGGATTGGTTGGTATTTAACTTAGGCTTCTGTAAGTTAATACTAGATTAACTTTCAGTGCTTGGTGAACACTAACCCAACTTAGATAAGTCTACTACCAAGGCTTATCGGATAGCGAAATTATATTTCAAATGCTGAATTATCACCTATGTGATTATGATATATATATAATTAATTGATAATTATAATTAATTGATTTCTTCTCTACTTGCTGTACTCAAGGTGTGTAATAGGGATTTTTATTAGTAAAGACTAGGCAGGGTTATGAGGTGGGCCTATTCTTCTTCCTTACCTTTATCCTCTGTCTTCTTGTTTCTTTACTTATATAAACCATATGTAAAACTAGTTTACATTAATGGATATTATTTCTCTTCTTGCATCAATTAGTTACTCTCAATCCTGTCCCCGGATATCTCCGGATTTCTATGTATATATACTTGAGTTTAAATGACATCGCAGTGTTTTGTGAGCGGAGCTATGACACTATTAACAGTTTCATATCTACTAATTACAATAAGGTATAACAAATACTTTTATTGTTCTACAACGTTCCTGATTGATTGTTCCTGTTAAGATACCCATTCTCGTGAAAGACTGAGATGTGGTACACTAAATAATGCTTCTGTTTGCCGCTGCATCACCAATGTACTGGTTTGCATAGACTTACTAGTATTGCAGACTATATTGTGCTCGCCTGCGTTGACACAATATGAGTAGCAACATGCTCTCCCTGTCTGTTGGACCTTGTGGACTATATTGTATTCGTTGAGACGATACATACAATGTAACAGTCTACAGTTCCAGAGCCGGCTCCAAGCCATGGCTACATCGTCGTGCTGGTCTGTTCTGTGTGAACCAGTGACTGGTATATGTATTCATCAATTGAAGTCGTCGAGTTGTATCATTTCATATACATTGAAATGCTATTTGCACTACATTTTATGCAGAACATACTGTTGATGGTCTTTATGCTACGTCACAGACATGGCAGGACATTTATACTTAAGGTATTCCGTATAACGAATATCTATTGTATAAAACAATCATCATTTAATAGCGTAGGTGTATATATTTCTATACCTTCCTACGCCCCGGAGTATGTAACCGGCGTGTCATACACGATACGTGAGCGGAGGTGGTCTGTAGTGAAATAACATCTACACAAGCAGACTGTTGTGGGGGCTTCGTATACCTCAAATATATTTTTTTACATGAGGTGGGCATCCTTTCCTTATTCCTTAATCCCCTTCCAATATATTTACATGTCTTTTGAAAAAAAAATCTATACAGCATATCACTATATTTTTATGATTATCTCATGTACCTCTTAAAGAATCGCGGGTTACCTACTTACTTATTTATTTAAAACACAACGTAATGTTAATAATAAGGTCCTAATCAAACTAGACGATCATATAATTAAAAATTTAATATGGCCATTTAATAGATCCATAGTATCTTGTATACTTTGATGCTTGGGTTTATATATTTTAGATTATTGTATGTATATTACTTATATACATATATACACATATAAGTTTTATATATGTGTTACTGTTATGATAAAGTCCTGGTCATGGTAATGGTCTTCGTTCGTTTGTAGTGTTGTCGGCGTGGATTATGATGATGTCGTGGATGGCGACGACATTATGATGGTTATGGTTGCGATAGGGGTGATCCGTTACAAGCTGAACATTAAACTGAACCTGCCAATAAAGCTTTACATGCTGCAGCTAGGTCAAGAGCAAGGGAAAGAAATTACAAATACGTTTGGGTCCGTAACGGAAAGATCTTTGTGCGCAAAGACGATCACTCTGACTACATACTTGTGAAAGACATATCATCACTTAAAAAACTTGTATAACTGTCTTTTTCTTTTTATATTATGCTTGCGTTTTTTCATTGTATAATGCTATTTAAAATTCGATTCAATTAATATATATTACCAAAATGTTAGAGGCCTGCGAACGAAAACAACAGAATTTTACCGAAACATTTGTAGTAGTCATTTTGATGTT